TCTTTCCTGTTTATTGCACACTAACTTGTAAAGTGAGTATATTCTAACAGCTTGTTAGTCTAGGTGCAGCACCACTACAGACTTTGTATACAACTGCTGTAAAGTAGCATTTAAAAGATGGTGTCCTGGTGACAGTGTAAATACAGTACGTTTTAATGTAAACGTCTTTGAGAAACTTGTAGATTATTCTAGAATTTGTATTTTTGTATAGACCTTTGAATTACTAACTCTGAGTTTGGAGCTAATGCGTACCCTCTCTCCTTGCATTTTCTTCCCAGCCACATTTATGCACAAGAGTTTGAGATTTGCTGTTTAGCTGAAGAGTTATACCAACAGCTCGGCTTCTGTACAGTCTCTATAGTAACTATATATATATATATATAAAAACAGCCTTCTGCTCAGTCTAATTTTTAACAGTATTGTTTAACACGGGACACAATGCAATAATGAGAGAAAAAGCATTATGCCCTGTATATTCTGTATATTGGAGTGTAGAGCTACTTGGCCTTACAGCATTGACTGTTCTGCGCCTCCTTGCCTTGATAGTCTCTGCTATAGACTTGCCATTTATATGCTGAAACACTCTTCTTCATCGAGTCTCAGGCAATCACTTCCAGCAGCAGATCACACTGAGGCAAAAGCATCGAGACAGAAAGGCTTCAGATGTCTTTGATTTTTTTCAAGTTGTAATGTTAGGACAGTCATGAATGGATACATCTATGTAACAGAGGCAGATGATGTGGTTTTACATTTCATTCCAAGTTGTAGACTCAAACAGAGGATCTAGTCACTTATTTTATGCTCTCAACAGTTCCACATATAGTGTTCAATATCTGAATATGAAGTTGACTTAACTACATTATAAAATGTAATCATTTACTCACGTTACCTTTACAAAAACAAAATTACTGCCAGGAGTCCAGCTCATACCATCACAATATACATTCTCACACCGGGATACTTTTAATGAAGACAACTATGCAATTTTAAGAGAGGCATTCACAAGTTTAATAACGGACTCCAAGGAAGAAAAAAATTATTTCTCCCTCCATGACATTCTGCTTCAACCTTGTATGCAGAACTCCAGTGGCAAAAGTTGCCTTCCCATAGTGTACATATTAACCTTGCTTCTTGGACTCGATATACAGTCGGTACAGAAAGCTTTCAGACCCTTTCAAGTTTTCCACATCTTGTTTCAGACTTCATTTGTTGCCGTTGAGCTGGATTGTTGGTGGATCCTGCTATCACTAGTTGCTGAGATAAGACAAGAACATTTCTGCAGCATTGAAAGTACCCAAGAACAGAGTAGCCTTTTTCCATTCTCAAACAGAAAACACTTGGAACCACTACTGGTCTTCTTAGATCTGGCTGCCCAACCAACTGAGTAATCATAAAGGGCCTTAGTCAGATAGGTAACCAAGAACCCAAGGGTCACTATGAATGAGATCCAGAGTTCCTTTCTGGAGATGGGAGAACCTTACAGAAGGACAACCATCAGCACAGCACTCCACCTCCACCATACAGTGGCCAGACGGAAACCATTCTTCACTAAAAGACATGACAGCCCACTGGGAGTTTGCCAAAAGGCACCTGAAGGACTCTCAGACCATGAGAAGCAAAATCCTCTGATCTGATGAAACAAAGATGGAACTATTTGGCCACAGTTCCCAACAGTGTGTGTGGAGAAAACCAGGCATGGAGTATCACCTCAATATCATCCTTACAGTCAAACACAGTGGCAGCATCATGCTGTAAGGATTTTTTTATGCATCTGGGAGAAGATGGATGCAGAAAAATATAGAGCAATTCTGAATGAAAACCTCCTCCAGATTGCTCAGGATCTCTGGCCGAGGCAAAGGTTTACATTTCAACAAGACAACCCGAAGCATACAGCCAAGAAAACACTATGAAAGCCCTAGAGTCCAGACCTGACCCCAATACAGTATTTCTGGAGAAACCTGAAAATGGCAGTTCACCAACACTCCACATCCAATCTGGTTGACCTTAAATGAATATGCCAAGAAGAATGGAATAAAATTCCAAGAGAAACATGCCAAGTTTGTAGCTTCGTTCTCAAGAAGACTTGAGGTTGTCATTGCTGCCAAAGGTGCTTGAACCACGTACCAAGTGAAGGGTGGGAATACTTGTGTATATAGGATTTTTTTTTTTTTCCAACACACTCCAAACCTGTTTTTGCTTTGTCGTTGTGTGTAGGTTGAAGGAAAAATGAGTTTAATCCATTTTAAAATGGATCAAATATAAAATGTAGAGAACCTGAAAGGGTAAAACCTTCTGTACTGACTGTAGGTTTCATTAGTCACAGCTGCAGCCATGTGAATTTGGACTTTGTAGTGTGTTCGAGTACTGTTCCCATAAATGTTGCACCACAGCTTTCCTTTTAAAGTGTGCTTTCACCCCTGCAGTAACTGATTAAATCTAACTGGATTCGTCTGAAGGATTTCAGTGATTCTGTTTTAGGAATTATGTGGTCAGGTGTGCACAACTTTACTGTAGGTATACATTTCACATATTTAAATGCAACATGGGTGATTCGTTGGCTCATCTATACTTCAAGTCAAACTTAAGGCTACCAATATTTGTTTAACCAATAATCAGAGAAATGGTTTGACTTGTGCAGTGGCTGGTCTTTCTGAAGTTGACCAAAATGCAACTTCAGTGAATCACTGGTAACATTTGTTTGGAAGCAGCCGGAGGGTTTCTGGAAGTTAAGATCCAGAAATTTGTCATCTCCTACACTTTTCCAAATGGGTAATATCATTTTTTTTTTTTTTTTTTAAAGCAAGAGAACTAAATTTTGCTTCCAAATAAATGTTGTCTTAACACCCAAAGAGTGGGGAATTAAGGATTTGTATTTTTTTTAAGAATGTATAATGTGAAAATGTTTGCTTGTTTCATACAAAGTAATAAATAATTTTAACATGAGCAATATAATACTAATAAATACCTTATCTTTGTCACTTTAATGTTTTTTTCCACAACTGAAAAGTCTGCCACACTTTAGAATTATATTAGCATAAAAATTGGAGGTTTTCCAGTTCCATCACGTCTCTGGCGGTGTGGGTGCATGCTGGAGATCTTTCCTCTGTAAGAAATACTCAAGATTAATTTAGGAAATATGCAGTGAACCACAGGGATCCCAGAGGAGAATAGAGCTCACCACAAGAACATCACTCAGATCTCGGAGGTCGTTCAGGACGTTGTCACACAGAGTTATTTTCTCAGACAGGGACTCCAGTTTGTCCTTAATGTCCAGCAGCCGCTGCAGAGAGAAACATGTTGCTCA